AAATAAACATTTTTTTAAATAATGCACCAATAAATAAGAAAATAAAAGTATCTAGAAAAACAATAGCAGGGGCACATTAATGCAGGAGAATTTAGCCAATATGCCTCAGAGCTTCAAATTTTGATCTGGAATCAAAATTTGCTATCTACTCACTGCTTTCTTTTACATCTAATTTGAATTGTCTACTTTCTCCCATCTAGGGGTGGGGGTGTGAGGGGGTGATATAGTGGTAACTCTGCTAGCACTTTTTGGCAACCCCAATGAGCAGAGAGTAACATTCCACTGTATTAAGTATGATGGTTTTGCAATTGTGACTGTGGTTTGCTAAGTACATTTGTGGCACTGTGGATTATGACACTTTTTTTTGTTGTTGTTATTATTGTTACCTTGTTCAGTCAAGGAAATCTTTTAATTCTTAATTTTCTCATTTCTCTTCCATTTGCCTAATTAAAATTTTCTATTTTTGGACAACATATCTTCTGATTAATAGTTTAGTAAGTTTACTATATGCCCTCAAACAATTTGGTTCTTCCACTGCTTTGGAGCCAATTCTTCCCAAGCATGCCTGGTCACAGCATGCACTGGAAGGCGTAAGGCCTCCCATATTCAAAATACATGCTGCCAGGCTCCATGGCAGACGCCTCAAGAATCAGAAACTAGGTGGAAATTCATATTGCTAACAAGTGCCTCACATGATTTTTGTAATCAGCAAGACTGCTTCAAATTCTGTTTTTCTTGGTTTAAATTGAGGAATTTATTAGAGTATAAGTAGACTTTTTCTACTACACTGAACTTACTTTTCATTTTAAAAAGAGAAAGGGCTCTCTTCAATCTCTTCTACAGATGTCCTAAATTTCTCCCTTTCCATCCCTCCAACTCCTGCAGTGCAGTGGACTGAACCTGGGGCCTCACATGTGCTAGGCAGCTGTCTATCACTGAGCTACATCCCTAGCCAGATGCTGTCTTTTCTTAATGTTTAGTCCATTTTCAACCTCTACTTTTAGCTCTGTCACCACAGCCAATACACCCACCAGATGGCAAGTACACATTGTTTACAGGCCTAGTAAAAGAGAACAAGAAGAAAGCAGCACATTTTTATCTCACAGTAACAGACACTGAGTGGCTGGAATAGATCAAGGGAGTTGGGTGCAACCACAGGATCAGAATTTATGAGTATTAAAGAGTGCTTAATTAGAAGTCATTCCCATGAAGAAACTCTCAACCCATTCTTAGATGGTAAACAGGCAGTATTAATGAATACATCATTTTAAATTTATAGTCAAGTGAGATACTCTTCTAGTATATATAAAAGGTGACAATGACTACAAACAGATCTTAAAAAGTTGGAGATTCTTAAGTAAGTGTGAAACTTTAGAATACACACACATAGACCAAGGAATATCCATGAATTAAAGAGGTTCAAAACCGTTCTTTTCCATAGAAAATTTAAAAAGAGGATTACTTGTACATTACCAAACTGAGTACAAGTAGCTCATTCAAAATTGCAGTAAGGTATTGATGGTCTATTTGTGATGCTACCTAAATTTTTAAAAAGATGATGAATAGCAAGGAATCTTAGATATCCATGTCAGCCAAACCTTCTTGTATTAAAAATTAATCCACTAAAAGATTTTTACAAGCATTTAGTTTTTTTTGTTTTTAATAAATAAGCTCTGTGTCTACCAGGCAAAAAGTGCTCAGTTACTGTTTTGTTGTTGTTGTTGTTGTTGTTTTGCCCATTTTTGTCACACAGACTGTCAAGAGAGTTGTCAAATTTTCACCACAGGTAAGCAAAGTGCCAAAACCAAATTTCCCTATTGATGGTCTCCAGCCTTGGAGCTACCATATAAAAATTTAATAGAAAACTGGTTGCTTGAAACCTGAGAGAAAGAAACAATGTTCTTACACAATAGGTTCCTGGACCTGTGCAAAACCAGCTAACTAGGCCTGGGGTTGTGGCCCAGTGGTGGAGCGCTTGCCTAGCATGCATGAGGTTCGATCCTCAGTACCATATAAAATAAATAAACATATTGTGTTTATCTACAACTAAAAAAAATGTATTTTGAAAAATGCTAACTGATAATATAGCCGAAGTACTGTATTCAAACTGTTTTGCCTACTCCTGAACAATGCAAAGCAGTTTCTTTTTGTTGTTGTTATTGTTTTCAGAAAAATACAGGCATCAAGCAAATCTTCCCTCTTATTCCCACTCTGAAGACGAAAAATGTCTAAGTAGTCATTAATTATTTCTAATTGCATATGTATATGTAAGGCAGAGAGAACATCAACATGCTGCTCTGCAAGTTTCTGACTTGCAGACAATGAATAGGTTAGACACAGATTCCCAAAAGATCTGAGTTTTGTGCTCAAGTATTCACATACAAAGGAAGACTCACAGGTACCTCGCTCCTGAAATCTTCTTTCATTATATATTTTAAATAGTGATATCAATTGTAATAGAAAGTATCTATTAAAATTAGTTATTTAGGAATTACCTCTCCATAGTAGCTGAATTATGAAATGTTTTTGTTTTTTCTTCAGATACTGCTGACCCATTTCTAGGTATCAACTTGCTTGCTTGGTTTCTCATATAGAGAGTAGAAATTCACAGTATAATAGAAATTGGTTTGTCACATAAGACATATATCTACACTATAATAAAAATGCACGCATGTTTGTTTTTCCACCATAATTTGAATACACACAATGATTCCATGATCATTTACATCAAAAGAGATAGTGGGAATTTATTTTAAAATAATTGGAACTGACTTGTTCATAATTTTGATACTTTCTTAATTTGAAGGATTAATAAACCCAACTGTTTCTGTATTGCTATGGCTGGTGTTCTGTCTTCCTTGATAAGTTACTTCTGTCCTGTTTACATTTATAATAGAAATGACACACATTTTTGATAACTACAAACCATGATGCTATCATAGTTACATATCCTACTTGGGGTTATCAATTTTTTTAAGGCTGTCTATTCCATCAAAATTTACATTCTGTGGTCAAAATTGTAAAAGTTTTTACTTGAGTCAAATGTAAAAATTCCTTTTAAACTACACATAAGCTATTTTGCTTCTCTTAGGAAAGAAACTAAATTGCTACATGTTGCTATTCCTTAAAAAAGCAAAATGTAAATAGATTTAGAATCTTAAATCTTAGAGCCAAAGAAATTTTTAATAATTGCTTGACAGTTGATGTCTTTTGCAGTCTTTTTAGACCAATTAAATATTTAGAAAACTGTATAATATTTGACCCATACAATTTTAACTATATCTTGAAGAATATTTTTGGCTGGTGTATTTCGCTACTAATTTTACAGTGAGATGTGGCAGGAATGTAATAGAGACCTAATGTGCATGATCTGAGGTTCAGCACTGATTTTTCAAGAGCTAACTTCAAGAAATGCATAAAGTTGCAATGTGTATAAATGCAAACTGTACAAGAGCACAGCACTTCTCTTTGTGTCACTTGTAAAAGGAGACGATTTTAATTTACTCATTATGAATTCCACACATTCAAAAGCTATTTCTTAAAAATTCTGACTGCTTTCATTACACACACATTGCTTCCAGCTCTTCTCTCCTGCTCTTTCCAAAATCCCCCTTTCTATCAGCAACCAATCTAAGCTTATAATCTTTCTTTTTAGAGGCAAACTACAATGTATCATTTCAGTTACACCCAAAATATTTCTCCCACATTTCTTATTTGAAGGTCTTTGGGACAAGTCTCATATTTTCCATAGAAAAGGAAATGATCTATTAATGTATGCAACTGACGTTTCATAATTCAATTTCATTTTAAGCCTCTGTACCTACTGTGTAATTACAAAGATTTTGCAACCTATTTCCTATCTATTTACATGGCCTAGGTTTTTAAAAAATATTAAATGATCTAATGATCCACTTTTCCACAACTTAAATGCACCAAAATTAACTTTCTGACATTTTCATTATACACGATTTTGAAGATTTTTTTAAAAGCCTCTTTTTGTTTATCTAATGCTGAGTTTGAAATTCAGAACATAAAAGAATAAATTAAAAATAATTTCTAAATGGCTGTTTTATTTATTCACTGATTAAGTCAGATTTATCTCTCACACACACCCATTCCAGCTATTGCCAGTTTTGAATGAAACAACCTCAATTGTAACAGAAGAAACATCTGTTGCTTTTTTCTTCACCAGGGCTTTCCTAACTGAAAGAAAGGCTCTCCGCCTGACCTCCTCTCCCACTCTCCCTCCCCACCCACACCAAGTTCCTTACAACTTTAAGTAAATGCATTATTTAAAACATTATTGCATCTATTAAAAATGTTATAACCTATTCAGAAACATTCACATCCTTATTAAAGTTCCAAAAAGACCTAAATGCCATATACATTTAAAAACAAATAAACAAACAAACAAACATGTGCCTGACAAAATACAAATTGTAACTAAAATGCAGACTTCAAGGGCATACTTGAAATGATCAACTCAATCAAGTTGTCACACATTCCTGCCTCACTAAGAATTGTTTAGGTATAAGATTTTCGTCACAGTATCCACACTCATATAGCATCTTGCATGCTATATTTTCTTTGCCAATCCAAGGCTAACATAATGGCAGTCACTACCCCAAGAGGCAGACACCAAATGGTGCCACCCACACTCTCACACTGTGCCTCATAATAAACCATAAAGCAGTGGAATGCACCGGCCCCTTTATGAGCAAACAATGCCTGAGCTTCATTAGAATACAGCTGACATTTTCAAAGCACAAATACTTTGAAGAAAAATGTACAAGGAAAAAAAAAAAAAGAAAGAAAGAAAGGAACGAAACAGCTATAAAAGCTGAAATATTTTCCAAGTGTCAGGTTGATCCAAGGACCTGAGGGAGCATATTTTGCTGTTGACAATTTAAAAGTTTTCATAAATGGGAAAAAAAATGTTTAATAAGATTAAAGCTTATTTAATTAACTATTGGGAAAAAAATGAAAGTAAAAACTATCACCTGAATTGCTTTCACAAGTAATGAACATGAAGTACCCATAAACGTATTGTATCTTCAACTGCTTCTTTAGTTCCTGAATGAAGAAAACTGAGCTCCAGAATTATTTGCACATTTTAATTAATTTATATAAGTAACAGGGATAAACCAGGCTAACTCTACCCCTCCCCCCCCCACCCCCCACCCCCATACCCTGTAGTTTTTCTGACTGCAACCAGCAAGGACGTCTTGAAATCAGCATGCTACTGGCCATTTTTCAATTCAACACTGCTGCTACTAAAAGAATATAAAATAAACACTATAAAAATTCTCAGCAGTAAGAAACAAACTGATCTCTCTTACCTGGTCTAAGGAAGCATGCCTCTCACTGCAGTACCAACAACACTCCACAGTCTTTGTTACCATTCAGTGGAAACTTGAGACTGTGTCAGGCGTAAGCAATCGAGCTCAGAAAAGCTCAATTTAAAATACTTCTCATAAAACTAAAAAGATGCTCAAGAAAACTATATGGCTAGCTGGCTTTTGAACACATATGAATATTATTTAATGTAACAAAGATACTTCAAAAGAAACTGAAAGTACAGATCTAAGCAATGAAGGGGCTTTTCTATGCAGAGCCTTGCTTTCTTATCAACCGAAAAGGCTTTTTTAATATTAAAAAAAAATGCTTAAAGTAAAGGTGGTGAATGATAAACCGTCTAACTCTAAGCTAACATTTTTCTAAATATCACTTGAATTTTAACTAGTTTAAAAATAAGATTAACTTACTCATAAAACCTGCATAATTCGAATTATGCATGTCAGGGTATTTGCTGGCTCCCAAAGCAGTCACAAAACAGGAGACCTTAATACATCTTGAAAGTAGAGCAAAAAAGCACCACGAGTTTCAGGGAAAACAGGAGGAGAAACTCTTGAAAAACTAGTTGGGGCTTTTTGAACCTATAATGACTGCCCAGCTCTTGGGAAAGAAAAAAAAAAAAAAGTCCTGGTCCTGCCCCCTGAGATAGGAGGCCATGCTTCAACGCCAAAGTGAATGACAGGCCCATTTCTGATATCAACAAAGAGCAGCTTAGTTGTGCTCTATTTTTTTTTTTTTTTCCATTTTTCCCACACAGTTAGAAGTTTAAAATTTTCCGATTAGTCCCTTTATATCTCCCTTTAGGGTTAAGTACCTTTTCCCATTTTCTCCAGAGGGAATGTAATTATGTTGTCCTAGTTTTTTTAAATGATTAATTAAGATTACATATCTAATCATCTTATTCAGTTTTCCTAGGCATAAAGGTGAATAAAAGAAGATCTTTTAAGTTCCTTTCCAAATCTATTCTTTGCAATGTCAAATAAACATATCACTGATTATCAAATACTAGTAAGTTTTTCCTGCATCCTGGTATGTAGCACAAGTAAAAACAAAAACTAGACAACACTGAAAACAAGGCAACTGAAATAATAAAATTTTCAACTAGTTAGATGTAAAAAATAACCCACCAAAGTACATAGCCATGATTTCACAAATTCATAACAATAAACACGTCAATTCACAACATGTTATTTACTGAATACTTTGTACAAGCCAAGCACTGTTTTGGGACTTGGTGATATAGTACTGGACATAGCAGACAAAAGCCAGACAAAAATCCCTGTCTTCAGTGAGCTTATTAGCTTATATCTGAGTTTCCAGTGAGTACAACTATCGTAGATGATGAAGGTAGTTTTCCTTCTTTGACTAGTTACCAACTAAACTAAAATATTCCCTTTTCAAAGTGTGTCTCCACAGTAGTTCCAGGAAGGCAAGCAAGTGTTTTATGCTTTGTCAGTGTTGTATCCCCAGTGTCTAAAACAGCACCAGTTAGACACTCAAATCCACAGTGAAGGAAAGATATGAAAGGTTTCTCCTCTACCTTTTCCTTGGTTAACATATATTACACTTATATGCAAACAGAAACACTGACAACATGTGTGCAGGGTGTAAATTAAATTGAGTTGTAAGAAGAGGAAAACAAGAAAAAATATGTAAATTGAGTTGGAAACACGTTAGTTTAAACAAAATTGAAAATAAACCCTTCAGAGCCTTATATCTTGTCATATTCTAAAACATTTTCACTATCAGATGTGAGTCCACTATAATATTTGAATAAAGAATTCAATTAAGATTTTTAAACTAAGTTTTTGTGGACAATCAGATTTTAGAAGGGCTTTTAAAAAAATATTTATCTTTTAGTTATAGGTAGATACAATATCTTTATTTCATGGGATGCTGAGGATTGAACCCAGTGCCTCACACATGCTAGGTGAGCACTCTACCTCTGTGCCACAATCCCAGCCCTAGAAGAATTTGGGGTTGGGGGGCAAAGTAGAAGAATGAGGAGGAAGGAGAAAGAAAAGAAGAAGAAACAACTTGGAAATTTTATAGAATCTTATCAGTTTGTGTATTAAAATATTACATATTTTTACCCATTTACAGTCTAGAAATATTTCTAAATTCCCCACCATTCGTAGTAATTTCGCCAGATGATTTTTTTTTTTCTTTTAACAAAGAAAATAAGTGCACATCTCTAATCTGTCAGATCATCCAGAAGTGCTGGCCTGTAGCACCCAAGGCCAGAGTGTTCAGGAATTAGATGTGGTTACATCTATACTTGTTATATTCTCAAAAGAAAATTACACTCTAAATTACAAACCATCCTCATCCCTCCTCATGCCCTTCCCCTCTAGTGATTATAAGTTCAAATATAAACTACCTGGTATATATTTTAATAATAAACCTAACAGCAACCCAAGTTCAGGAAGACATGAGATAATTTAGGTCAAGCAATGAATAAGTTGGGCCAAAGCAGGATTCCACTGTTCCTGAAGGAACAATTTTCCTTCTCCCATTCTTCCCTTCAACAAATGCTCACTGACCACATGTTATATATCAGGCACTGAACTAAGCAGCACGTGATCTGCTATTACAGGTATGACCTTCAACCTACCTCTATTGCTCCACAATCCCTCTTCCTGCTTGCCTTCCATCCCAGTGCCTTCTCCAGTCCCAGTGTTGACTCTCCCTGCCCTTCAATCTACTGCTTTTCTCGGCAGGCAACATAATCATGACCTTTTATTTTCCTTTACAAGTGTATGACACAGTATGGGAAATGCACAGGACTTCCCATTGTCATAATAAAGTATATCTTATCTAGATCCTCTCAAACAATTTTCACTTAATCATATAAAGAAAATCCATTCAAATATGCTATTAATTACAACTACTGGTTGGTTAATTAGAAAATACCAAAAAGGGACCAGCATTCTCTTTAGTCTGAAACTTACTGATCAAATATTCACCACCATGAGCAAAACATTTATGATTCTATAGGCAGAAATGACACTATGATAGCATAATGATAGTTTTATTTAGCCAATATCAGCTATCTACAAGACCAATATGATGTTGAGTGGAAATTAGCTGTTCTGTGTCTATACCTACATGTTCAAGTAAAAGGATTCATCTTCTTGACAAGTACAAAACCTACAGCAAAGGGCTCCTGCTAGCACTTGCACAGGTATATACTATTTCTTAAAAATACTGCATAGTAAACAGCTTCAGCTTTGTTTGCTCTTCTTCCTATTTTTAACCTTTAAATACAAATAGATGTTTTTTCAAGGTTCTGTCTGAAGTTTGCTATTGTTGAATCTGGAATGCTATCCAAAGGCTTGGTTTCCAGTCCATAAACATACCAAGTGATAAAACTTTTAAGATATGCAGCCTAGTGGGAGGTTTTAGGTTACTGAGAATGTGCCCTGGAAGGGGACTGAGGGATCCCAGTCTCTCTTTCCATGCCCAGGCATGAAGTGAATAGGTCTCCTCCACCACATGATCCCACCATGGTGTACTGGGTCACCACAGGCCCAAAGCAATAGGACTAATGATCATTAATCTCCAAAACTGTGAGCCACACAAACCTTTCCTCTTCTGAAGTTCACTTATCTCAGGTATTTGTTATAATAACAGAAAGCTGACTAACACAACAATTTTTTCTTCCAAGACTTACACAGCCTCTTTGGAAGATAATGATTTCTATAGCTTTATTCTTCTATGTGGATGACTAAAAAAAATTATACATCTAGCTAGCCCTGTCATTTTCTGTTCTGTTCTGCTCTAAATTCTTATTTACAATTGCCTATTGGTCATTTCTGTCTGCACACCCCATAATCTCAACTTGACTTCTTCAGTATTCAAATTCTTGTCTTCATTCCCAAACCAGCACCTCCTCATATGTTCCCTGACCTTGTTAAAGGAGCACTGACATTCAGAACAGAAACTAATTTTCTTCTTAGCTAATGCTCATTCTCCAATGTTCCCACTGTTTCCAATTTTTTTCAACACATATCATTCTTCTACCCTAAAAATAAAAGAAATGAGAAATACAACCTCTGATGGTCACCCAATGTCTAGAGCTATGCTATCCCAAATGGAGGCCTTATCCATATGCAGCTATTAAGTTTAAATTGATTAAAATTAAATAAAAGTTAAAATTCAATTCCCAGTCACAAGCCCCAAGGCAAGTGTTCTTTGAGGCCACATGTGGTTAGCATGACAATTTGGAATAACCAGGAGCTCCAGAAGCAAAGGAAGCCACTGTAACCACTATCAAATGCTCACAGATTAGAAAGATTAGGAACAGCAGGAAAATGAAGAGAGGGCCCCATAGAGGTACGGTGTGTGGGTGGAGTGATCAGCTGCTACTGGCACAAAGCCCCACCCACTGCCGTAGATCCCTCCATCTTATAAAGTCAGTCATAAATCACAGGCAGCAAGTAGCAAATCTGACACCCAATTCTCAGTCAAAAAAATCCCCATTTTCTGGGGGAAGGCTTGAAGGAGAACCCTTGGTCACTGGTGAAAGGACAGGAAAATCTCCCACACTGAGGGAACATTCCCCACTGCTGCTAGGGGTAGAAGCCAAAATCCTGTTTGCAAGAAGCATGAGAAACCTCAGTGGCCCAGGATTCCAGGCTGATACCAAAGATAGGTTTGCTGTTGCTTAGGAAAGGGCAAAGTCCAGAGGCCCAGATGCACAGGGACTAAGAGCAACACTAGACCAGGACAGCAGAGAGCCACCTGTGAGGCCACCAGGAGCACAGCACTGAGATACAAGCACTACCAACCAACCACCAGCAGAGGGGCTGAAACGTGGAAAGGGAGTCCCTGTCTGTGATAGAGGCAAGGAGGGACTGAGAAAGCCCAAAGTACACAGGCCAAATCAAGATAACAACACTGAGGTACCTAGAAGGTAATCCCAGCAATGTCCAAATCCAAACCCACCTCAACTCCATTTGATTGACACAACAATGGCCTGACAGAGGAGGTACATCCATTTCCAGGCACAAACACCATCTACCTGTCACTACTGTCCTTTTATACATGACATCTGGTATTAAATTAAAAATTACAAACACAAACAAAGGTGGGAGTCTTTATCAAGAAATAAGGCAATCATTAGAACCAGACTCATATATGATCCAGATGTCAGAGATAAAGAAAGGGGCTTTAAAGTAACTATTCTATCATCTCTCTAATCATTAGACAGGAAGACAAATTTTTTCTAACTTTAATCACTCTTCAATATTACTGAGACTTTTAAACTGAAATACTAAAAATGCACTGTGGGTCTTTCCTGAACTCTGTGCGTTTTCTCTTGATGGATTTTACTCCTCATCCTTCAGCTGTAATAAACTGTTAACCATGAGTAAAACACCTCTCAATGCGTTCTGGTAGCCTTTCTAATGAATTATTGAAACTAAGAATAGTTCTGGAAACCTCTGAACTTGCAATTAAGGTCAGAAGTGATGGAGAAGCCAGGCGCGGTGGCTCACATCTGTAATCCCAGTGGCTCCAGGGAGGCTGAGGCAGGAGGATCACAGGTTCAAAGCCAGCATCAGCAACTTAGGCGCTAAGCAACTCAGTAG